ACATGTGTGGTTCGGCGGAAGAATTCTCAACTGTCAGGTTGAGAGAGACCTGCATTGAATTCCTGTCCAGTGCGTCAGCCCCCCAACCCCGTGGCACGTGTGTCGGTCCAACAGATTCCAGTGGCGCTTCCAGATAAGATAGACTAAGAGGAGAGACCTGCTGATCTGCTTCCAGGAAGAGCACTGGATGGGATACTGCCTTTCCCCCTTGGGTATGAGTTCACCATGAGGGGTGTGTGTGTGTGTGTGTGTGTGTGTGTGTGTGTGTGTCAGGGGCAGGGGATGGGACAGGGGTAGACCCCATGGCAGCTGTCAGCAACAACACTTGGGAAAACTGAAACTTTCCAGCCATAAAACAAGCTTCTCTCTTGTCCGTTTCAAAACCGTAGCCAACTTGACCCCTCCTGGAACCAACAGTTCATGGCCTGAATTCTGTTTTCTTCTACAAAGCCAACTGCCTTGAGTGGGTAGCCTTTTCATGCCATTTCTGCACCTCTTTCTGACTCTTAAGCTCACTTGGCGATGCTTCTGTCAATATAATACTACAGAAACAGCTCTGAGGGCAATCTGCAATGTTCCTCACAGCAGCCACCTGAGAAAGACCCTTTTCCCTGCTGACATACTCTCCTCCCTTGGCATCAAAACCCTGCTCAGAAGGCTCAGCTTTTGCTAATCACATCCTCCCTGCCAATCTCAACCTCTCACCCTCGTTCTTGACCCTCTTCTCCTTCCGTAAGACCTCTGCTCATTCTGAAAAATTGTAGATTCTTCTCCAACACCACATGTGGGGATTGAGAGAGTCAGAATATATTGGAAAAGGAGGAGAAAGATAATAGGGAGACTGAAGAAAGGATAGTTTTAAGAGCAGGGAAAGGAGGTAATGGCTGGGCAGATAGGAAGAAAACTAGAAAAGCCAAAGGCCTTCATTTGGAAATGGATATTTTACCCCCTGTATTGTTATTTTACTCTGAGTGAGGCAGAAACTGAGTTAAGAAAGAAGCATCAGAACTACAGAAATGAACCAGAGTAAGGAAAATTATTTTTTAAATACTAATCATTAAGTGGATAGATTTTAGCTATTTTGAAAGTGACTAAAACACCTGCACACAGGACATTAGTAGAAATATTTTGAAACCATTTTTCTTGGCTTTGCTTTTTCTTTGGACAAACTAATTCATTCCCATATGTTTTGGTGGGAGGAGAGAGAAGGCTTTAACAGAGACTATAAATCCTGTTTTTGAATTGAAGATGCTATTTATTCATCTATGTGTTGTTACATTCAGAGAGTATATATGAATCAGTTTAAAATTCAAAAAGGATAACTGGATTATATACTTAGAAGGGGGTTTCAAAATTTTGTGAAACAGTGAAATTAAAGGACAATAGAATCTTTCCATGAACTTTTTAAACCTCCTTCCGTATCGATGAGCAATTCACATCAAGCCAACGCATCAGATTGCTTGAACTAATGTATTTGCTCAGCAGCACTTATAAAATTTTAGTATCCTTTATGATATTTTATATTAGGATTAATACCTTATGTACTTTTAGAATTATGCGGAAATAAAAAATGTCATCAGTTTCTAAAATAAAATATAATGTAGAGGTTTCGTTCTCTGAAAGGGCCAGTTAATAGAAACCATAAATTTAATGCAAATGCAATCAAAATTCCAACAGAATTTTTCATGACATTTAACAATGGCATAGTAAAATTGGTAAAGCAAGAAGCCCAGGCAAATCTGAAGAGACATTGTGAAGTGAGACTCACCCAGCCCTTGTTAATGTAAGTCCACAGAACTGAATGCACCACGGTACTTAGAGCAAAGGTAGACAACTACGTCAAGGATGAAGCACCAGAAATCCAATAACACGTGTGTGTATGAAAATTATATGTATATGAAACACATAAAACAAATCAGGGGAGAGAATATGGACAACTGACAAAATTGTGCTTGGAAAACTTAATGGATGATACAAACAGATACTTATGATCCAATACTTAATTCATATCATGAATCACCTCAAAAAATTCATATCACATATCACAGAGGGAATAATAAAATTTACAAAACATGAATGTGTGACCAAATGACCAAATGATATGGACACTTATTTACCAAATCAAGACAGCTAATAAAACTATGAGAAGATGCTCAATCTCAGTAGATTTAAGAAAAAGGTAATGTGATAATGTAATATGATTAAATAATCATCAAACTGTCAACACTTAAGAAAAATAAGTTTCACATGATATCTGCATGTGTGTGTGTGTGTGTGTGTGTGTGTGTGTGTGTGTGCTAGATTTTGTGGGAACGAGATTTCACTCCACACCAATAGTAGTTTTCATTGCTATGACCTCTCTGAAAGTACTTCCTTTTCTACATGTTTACTTAACTCTCATTCGCTCAAGCAAAAACTTTATGCAATATTATTTTAAAATAATTATAGATGAACAGGAAGCCATACAAGTAAATAAAATCATTCTGAACCTTTCTCCCACTTTCCCAGAATCATTCGCTTTGACAAACTGCAGTGCAATAGCAAAGGCAGGAAATGGACATTGGTATCAGGTGTGAATAGTTCATCCTACTTTATCAGGTGTGTAACCACGATTGCAATCAACACACAGAACTATCCTATCATTGTTAAGAGTGCCTCATGCTACCCGTTATCCCTAGCTACAAGGTAGAGAAGTCTTCTTGGTGTTTGATGCTTCCTTTCCACTCATATCCCTTACTACTAGCAAGCAGTCATCTATCTCCATCTCTATGATTTTATTTCAATATTATATACATGAAATCGCATAGAATGTGAACTGAGACTGCATGCATTTATAGTTTGTTCCATTGTTTTTGCCGAGTCCTCCTACACACACTGGACCTACTACAGTTGATTTAACCATTCGCCCAATGAGAGACGTTTGGATTATTTCCAGGTTTGGCTAAGTAGGAACAGAACTGTCATGCACATTTGCATATAGGCCTTTGTGTGGATGTAAATTGTCATGTATATGATATAAATGGATAGGAGTTCAATTGAAGAGGTATAAGCATGCTGAGCCATCTTTCCTCTCAAATTTCTCCAGCACTGAGATGCTTATCGCAAAAAATATAAGCTCTTCTATAAAGTAAATTGGATAAGACTTCTGAGGTGAATTAAGTTCAACAATTTAGACTTTAGAGGTCCACAACATAACATCTAAGGCTCAGCCCAACATGTTAAAGCAAATCCTCCTGAGGAAACATTGTGGGGACCACATTTGACCTCCTCCAGCTTCTGAGGCAAATTGTGACAAGGGTGAGGTCAAACATGTCCCATTCTGCCAATCCTGACATTGTCCCTACCAGAACACCGGGTACTTGTCAGCTGGGTTTGATAATTAATGGCAATGGACACAGAGAACTCAGACAATGGTCACGATTATGATTCAAGTGAGGAATGTTCAGACTATGGTTGTTCCACGAGGGCAATCTATTCTCTGCTGAGCCCAAAAGCCATCTCCTCCTCTGACCCTCAGCCTCTTGGCATGGTCTCTACTCTCCTTGCTCAGTGTTACTAAGCTTTTTTAGAACCACCAGTAAACGTCCAAAGGGTTTGCCATTCTTCTGTAAGCCTCTTCTGAAGGTGCTTAGTTCACGTTCTGTGGAACAGTAAAACCCAGCTCCCTCAATTAAGTGCCAGAGGCACCCCACTCCACAAGCCACCCTCCTGCCACAAAGTCCTCAACTTTGTTTGCTCTGTGGGCTGGGAAATTCACCTCCCTGCCTCCTGATCCTTCTGTTGCTGCTCCCCTGACATTCCCTTGTGTGTTAGGCAAGGTTATTTAGAGGAACACAACCAGGACACTTATGATGATAGATAGATAGATAGATAGATAGATAGATAGATAGATAGATAGATAGATAGATAGATTTATAGAGTGAGATGCAATATAACAGTTAATTAATTCACACAGTAGCACAGAGTGTTCAGTTCAACTCACTTACATAGAACAGTTAACATACTGGAAGTCCTTCAACTCACAAGGGCTGCCAGGTCCAAGGTCAACGATGCAGACAGCAAAGTCCTCTCTCCAGCAAGGCAAGCAGAGTCTGCCTACAGGCAGCAAGCATCAGGGTGGGTCACCAACAGTCAGTAGCTTGGAAGCTTAGCTAAGTAGGCCAGGATGGGATATTGAACACAAGCAATGCAAGGAGACAGGATCCACCATCCTTAAGCTCAAGTGATGTATGCACCCGCAATGTGGTGAAGGAGGTCTTGAAGGAACCTCAAGATCTAGCAACATACTCCACAGGTTGAGGCAGAGAACTAGCTAAAACAGCAGCACACGCCAACCACCAGAGAGCAAGCTAGAGCATTGCAGAGCTATTTATCTCTTTGCCCTCCGATCAAACTGTGACCTGATTAATCCCACATGCTTCCATTGGCCAGGTTGGCAAAATAAGCCTAACTATCACACTGGCAACAAAACTAACTTCTAGATCAAGGAAGTTCAATGTGCATGGGTCTCCCAATCCAAAGGATGTGCTCATTTTTCTCTTCCGGATAGTAAAATGCCCCTCCCTGTTTTATAGCCACCATTTTATATCCACCAGACTAACAATCACAATGAACCTTATTAGCAATCACTTAATGTTGAATCGCACCACCCAATCAGTATCCAGCCCTCACCTTCTTACCCAGACCCACCAGGGAAAGGAAGGTTATCTGATGGGAATAACAAAGTGCTCTGGCTCACTCACTGGAAGCCTTGGAGTCCTTTCTGACTTATAAGGACCCTTTAGGACAGAGTAGAACTGCACCTGTGGGTTTCTGAGATCACAGATGTTTATGGAGTAGAAAGCTTCTTTTTCTTCTGCAGAGTGACAGGTGGTTTCAAATTGCTGGCCTTGAAGTTAGCAGCCCAATGCATGACTCACTATGCCACCAAGGCTCTAAGCAAAATTTTAAAATTCACTACACTGCATCTGCTAATTGCAGAGCCCCACCCACTCACTTACCATGTGTGCTTAAATTTACATCAGCAACCAAGTATCATCTATGTCTGCAAAAGTAAAGCCTGCAACCTAAAAGAAACAGAGGATACATAGATATTAATGGACAAACAACCACGCAATGAAGAAACCATTCAGATGAATTGTGTCCTACATAGTATGTTCAGCAAAAATTTGAAACAATTTTGTGCCCACAAAGCAAGAACAGGATGCCATAAAAATGGAAAATAAAATGAGACCATTCTCGGATATTGAAAATCCAAGGAAAGGTGGCAGAAGGGGGCACATCTCAGGTTTGTAAACTAGAGTTGAAGCAATCTCCCAAGATGGAGAACTCAAAGGCACAGAGACAAGGAAGAGTGAATTCGCAGATGCTCAGCAGTCTAACATAACCAGTATGCTTTCCAGAAAACAAAACGAATGACAGGGATGCAAAGAGGATATTCTCCTTGGGGAGAGCGCCTACTGGCAGTGAGGTGTGGATGGTCGGCACCCTGGCGCCACGAGGTGAGCAGCAATGCTCTGAGAAGGCTCACGTGATGGTGGGGCCTTGCCTGTGTTCCCAGCTTTTGCCCTTCCTTCATTTCTACCCCTTGCCCGAGTCCAGCTCCTCAAAATTTATGAAAATTATATAAAAACATATCTCCGATGCTTTCCCTATTTTGATTCAAGTCTGTGGAACCATTCTCTGGTCTTCTTAGATCCCAGAAAAGATCTTAAGGGCTTAGAACGCGTATCATTTTGACAGTTATTTATCTTAGAGAGGAAATAGTTGATCAGTCCTCTGGCAGCCCACTGACTAGAATAGTTTTCCCTGTTCCTCTCCTTGTTAATGTCCTTAATATTTAGGGGGAGGGAAAAAAAACACATCTCAGCCTGAAGCCTGTTTGCCTAACTAATCAGCAGGGTTATCCAGCTCATCTAAGGAGCTCCAGCTGATGCCTACATGTCTGATTGCAAAGAACATAAACATGCTTTGGTTTGTCATGATAGAAAATTCTAGAATTTTTCCTACTTATGTAAGTCAAATGACCCATTTGGTGAAGTTAAGTTACTTAGTATGAATCTTATTTTTATCCCCAGCCTGATAATTCCCACCAAGTGACGGGGTGGGAACAAATAAGGTGTAGAAGACTCTAACTCTAGAATTGTTCCGTTTTACCATTCTATTGCCCATAAAAATAAACTATCTCAGATCAGGTACAGAGAATCTCATGACCATCAAGAAAGTAAATCCACTGTGAGTGCATGTGAGATCCCTCCTGTACGGGGAGAAGCATCAGAGATAGCAGGGGCACCAGAAGCTGCAGCACCAAGGCCACGAGGCAGAGTACTTATTACTTTCAGAATAAGCAAAACTGGGTAACTTTGGATAGGAGATTGGCTTTCAGAGTGGGATGCCCTTTGAGCATTTATCAGTGCTAAATCCCAAGAAGGATGTGGGCCAAGGCACCACCTGGCTGGGGGACCAAGGACCAGAGAGAACCAGGCCTGTCACCATGGCCAACAAGGAGAATGATGAATAAAGGAACTATATTCTCCTCATTTTGTAACCTGGTAGCTTCCCTTAAAAATCTCATAATCATGATTATTGTCTGTAAGTTACATATACGACCAGTGAAATGGATTATCCAAACCAGCAACAGAGTAGTATAGTGTCAGGGAGGTATAGTTGGTAGCAGAATAAGATAAGAACGGATGGAGGGTGGAGACATCTTACCTTGGTCATTCTTAGGAATCATTCTTGGGAAGATGTCTAATTGGATTCTCTTTCCCCTCGGGTAACAGGTGGAGGTCAGACTTCGTCCCCAAGCTACTTTCTCACATTTGTTGTAAAAATAATGGTGGGTGCCAGGCTTGAAGATCCTTTTTTAATATTACAATCTGAGACACACAAAGAGATGTCTACATTTCATCCAGACAGACTTCCAAATCCTCGCAGACACCCACATCCCCAGGGGACCAGATAAGCATGCATCTGCCTTGTTTACTGTCTACTTCCTGTGAATAATAAAATGCTGCCATGTTGTCACCACTCTATCAGTGTCCCATGGGTATGACTTAATCAGCTAGATGAATAGCTTCCATGGTGTGATTACTGCTATTGATTAGAGGCTTCATCCTAGTAACCTCATAGTTTTGGTGGATTCCAGACTGCCTTTGAAATAAACTCTCCACGCAATGCAGAGGCATTTTCATGGCTAAGAATGTGTCACATGTTGCCACTCGAATTTCAGGAAGCTGGATTATAAAAATTTGGGAAGAGAATGAGTAAAATTGCCTATTTTGAATTTTCACTGTGAGAAGTAGGGTTGCACCTCTTTCTAGTGCCTACATAATGAATGATTTCACTAAATTAAGAATAGGGTTTGAAAGAAAGGGGCAGGGGCAGTTTGAATACCTCCCATACTCTACAGACACACACTGTGAAAAATAAATATCTAAAAAACCTCTCACTGTCATCAAGCCAATTCTAACTTATAGCGACCCTATAGGACTGCCCATGTGGGTTTCTGAGACTGTAACTCCACGAGAGGGAAATCCTCCCCCCTCCTCCCCTCCACCACCACCAAAAACCTCTCACTGTCATCAAGCCAATTCTAACTTATAGCGACCCTATAGGACTGCCCATGTGGGTTTCTGAGACTGTTACTCCACGAGAGGGAAATCCTCCCCCCTCCTCCCCTCCACCACCACCACCAAAAAAAAAAATACACCAGAATTGCACTGAGTGAAGCGGAACTTTTATAGTGTGCCTTTTTCCTACTAAGGGAGCATTGAAAACTCAATCTGAGTTAGTGCACCCAGTGGCATCACCTGGGAAGGTTCTCCCTGGTCACATTGAATTTTTTCATGAAAGCAGCTTAGCTTGAACCGCTTCTTTTTTTTTTTTTGGTGAAGACTAATTTAAGAGAACAGCATGAAGCTGTGAAATTTTGTTTCCTGCTCAGGAAAAATGCTGCAGAACCTATTGTGATGTTGAACACAGCTTACAAGGACAGAGCTATGGGAAAATCTCAAGGTTACAAGTGGTTTTCTTGTTTCAAAAAAGGGTGAAATGTCGATTGATGACAAACCTCCTGCTGGACATCCATCAACTTCCAAAATAGATGAAAATGTCAACTCATAGTGCATTTGGAAAAATATAAACATATGAAAAATATAAATAAGATTTACAAGGGGATGCCCCCCTCCAAAAAACAAAACAACCTATGCTCATTTGTTGATGTTTTTTATGTGAGGGGATAGTGCATTTGGAGTTTGTTCCACCAGGTCAGACTGTTATTCAAGCTTTCTATTTAGAGATTCTGAAAGGATTGCATAACTGTGTGTGACAACAAATGCCTAATTTGTGGCAGGTAGGGGACTGGTTGTGCCACAGTGCACCTGCTCACACAGCCATCTCAGTGCACCAGTTTTTGGCAAAAAGCAGCATGCTTCTCTTGCCCCAGGCACCTTACTCACCTGGCCTCTCTCTGTGCGGCCTTTTGTTTCAATGACTGAAGAAGGACATGAAAGGACAGCCATCCGAACCAATGAGTTTGAAAAATGTGTCCAAGAATGGAATCGCAGATGTGACAAAAATATTAAGTGTAATGAGAATACTTTGAAGGTGATAAGGTTTTTTTGTAAAAAATTTTTAAAAATTAAATACATAGCTTTGAAAAAATCCTTTTTGGTTGTTGTTTTTGTATTTTGGTACCACCTCATAAATGGGAGTAGAGAACCTCATCTTTCTCCCAAGGAGCAGCTGGTGGTTTCAAGCTGCTGAACTTGCAATTGCTAGCCCAGGGTATAACCCACTATGCCACCAGGGCTCTTGACACACACACTACAGCATTAATATGTACATTCAGGAATGGAGGAGTGTCAAGGTTGGATCCACCAAAACCTTTCCACTCACTGGCTGGTGATTTTCCTGCATTCTGCGTCATTGCATGTGGGTCCATGAGTCTGCAGAGGGACTTATGGACTAGCATTAGACTTATGGACTTGAGTTGGACTGGGTTGGGATGTCTTATTGATGTTTAATTACTTCTTGATATAAAGCCTTCTTTTACACAGATATGTGAATGTCTCTGGATTTGCTCCTCTGGTCAACCCAGTCTAATATACCTTTGAAGATCAGACTTCAACATGTAGTAGGAATTAAATCTCAACACAAAAGTGACAAAAATTCTTATAACTGTACCAATAAGCAGCATCATGATAAATAGAGAAAATATTGAAATGGTCTAAGATTCCATTTCACTTGGATCCACAATCAAAGCTCATAAAAGCAGCAGTCAAGAAATCAAATGACATATTGCATCGGTCAAATCTGCTGGACAAGACCTTTCTAAAATGTTACAAAGCAAAGCTTAGCACTTTGAGAGCGAAGATATATTGGCCCATGTCATGATCCTTTCAATCACTTCCTACAAACCTGAACAGTGAATAAAAGGAGAACAAAAAAGAATTGATGCCTTTGAATTATGATGTAGCCACAGAATATTGCCTATCCCATGAACTGCCAGTGTTTGAAGAAGTACAGCCAGCGTGCTCCTTAGAAGTGAGTTTTCAATGTGTTATCGGGTGGAACCAGTCCCCAGAGAAGGCTATCATGCCTCATAGAAAGTCAATAGAGAAAAGACACTGTATGAGATAGACTGACACAGGCCTGCAAGTCCGGTCTCGATATAATGTGGCAGTGAGCGCCGAGCCGGGTCGTTTTTGTTCCATTGTAGGGAGGCTCGTACATTGAGTCAGGATGTACCTGGGAGAGAACCAGGGAGAAGAAGGAGAAAATATAGAATGAAATGAAATGACATTGAATATACATCATTTATTTAACAGTCACATGAAACTGATTGCCATCAAATCAATGCTGACTCAAGGGGACCCTATGGAGCAAGCAAACCTGCTCGTTTGGGCTTCTGATGCTGCCAAGCTTTATGTGAGCAGAACATCTCCCTTTTAGCCCGTGGAGTGGCTTGTAGGTTCAATCTGTTGGCCTTGTGGTCAGCAACCAACCGGTAATCCACTCCACTATTAGGGCTCCTCTTAAAGTAGAAAATTCTCCGTCACAGTATTTCTCACAAAGTAACCAGATGATCCCTACCTCAATTAACATCTGACATCTCACAAAAGATCCCTCCTATAGCCACTGTACTGAAAGCAGGCATGATTCATTTTGCTCCTGAATCTGAATTAAACAGTGAAGTGAATGGTATTGAATTGATTACATCATGGACCTCATTTATACACCTGATTTGGACTATCATAGTTGTTATGAGTGACTATCAAAATTGTCATAAGGATTCAGTGATTCTGATCAGGGCTAGAGCCACACAGAGCAGTTAAGAAGTGTGTGTGTGTGTGTGTGTGTGTGTGTGTGTTTCATTTTCCTTATCAATACGTCTTTCTTTCCACAAGGATTTCTGCTTCTTGCCTGGTCATAGACAGGATGAGGAGCCCACCACCACTGAGTCAACTCCGACTCAGAGCGACCTTAGAGGGCAGGGTGGAGCTGCTCCAGGGGCTTCTGAGACGTCACCTCTTCGAGGAAGCCGGAAGCCTCAGCTTTCAGAGCGAGGCCTCAAAGCCAAAGCAAATTGAAATCACTGCCGTCGCTGGGACGACTCACACCCACCCGAGAGACGAGCGCAGAGCGCCTGTGCGCTCCGAGACTCTTCGCGGCCTTGGGAAACCTGGCTGCTTGCTTCCCACAGAGCTGCCGGTGGCTTCGAACCGAAGTCCTGTGGACCTTGTGGTTTGCAATTAACCACTGCGCAACCAGGGTTCCTGGAGAAGGGACTCGGAGTGTGTGGCGTTCTTTCCTCACGTCCTCGCTCACTGCCATTGCCCCCTACCCCTTGCCCGCATGGGGCTACTCCCACCAGCAGGCCACACTCAGGCAACCTCCCATGGTTCCAACATCTCCTCTCACCCTCATTCATTTACTACTCAGTCATGACATTGTTTTCTGTTTTGCCATGTGAACTAGCCCTCCTATTATCCATCAGTATGAAATAACTGGCTTACAGTTGCCACCCTTCTGACTTTTAATAGCATTTAAAGAAATTGACATTCCAGTAGAACAACTTGGGGATGTATGTCAGGAAGAGATCAGGCTACCCAGGGGGGCATATGAGGGGTTGGGCATGAGGGGAAAGATATATGTTTACACAGAGCCTACTCAACCACAACAGGAAAAACATTTTAGTCAATGACAAACATTACAAAACACATTTTTTTCAGTGAGGATTTCATTACTATCCCCAGTCTAGTAACTGTTCCATCAATTTTCTCATCATTGCATAAACTGGGATTTGGACTTGTGATAGGCTGATTCTCTTCTCTTTTGTTCCAGTGAGGATCTCCCAGTAGTTTGGGGGAAAGGTTGGAGGTACCAGCAGGGATAACAGGATTTCAGAAGTGTTTGGGAAACTGGAGGGAGAATAGCATGCAGGTATTCCAGGCCATAGCTCTCTCAAAGATCTTCCCACATGGCTCTGACTTTCATTCTGTATTAAACAAAAAGTCATCTGAGGGCCATTTAATGCTCTGGTTTGTGTTTTCCAATACCAGATAAAAGTTAAACAGATGAACCATTTGGGGGGTACGGATTGGGAAATCCATGGCTGCTAAAACGCTTTAAAGTTTCAAAATGGTTTTGTTTTTTTAAACCCATTTTCCATGTTCCAGCAGCTGTGGGTTTTCCCAGGGCTCCCCCTGTGGCTCAAAAGGGAGCTGCTTAATGCTTAACAGATGAGCCAATTGAGTTTTTAAATGCAAAATTAAACTGAAAGTGCACAAAGAGCACAGGGAATCCACTGCCGAGAATCGACTGTAGGGAGAGGGAGTTGAGTGCAGTCGGGTTGCAGGGGAGACACAGCCTGGACCCCCAGCCAGTGGCCCATGGAGGGGACAGCACATTTATGTTTTAATCAGCCTCTGAGCAGGCTGTAATTGTACTTCCTATTGCCAGAAGTTTTGTGTTGCCGTTGTTGTTCTCTCTCTCTCTCTCTCTCTCTCTCTCTCTCTCTCTCTCTCTCTCTCTCTCTCTCTCTCTCTCTCTGGCTGAAGATTTATGTATAGATATGTCTCTTTTATTTCTCCATTAAGAACAGGGGAAAAATGGATGTAGTTTACTGAACCCAGGAACAAACATAGTTTGACCTTTGTCAGCTGTGTTCTGCGAATGATGCTGAAAGACGCTTGATGTCCTCAGCGATTGCCCCCACCTCAGCACCGTTAGTGTCTCACCTCCAGTGTCCCGGCAAGTTGAACAGCTCTTCTGGATTCTCAGCAGACTTCCGTGTTGAGCACAGCGGTCAGGATGGTGTGAGCACGGGCAGAAACAGATGATCAAATCACTGAATAAATGCTGTGTCCTTCATCTAAATGTTTGAACATCAGAAAGCGTTGAATTTCTTTTCTTAATTATCATAAAATTAATGGCGACAGTCTATATTATGGGTATCTT